ACGGTCTAGATAGTTTCTTCAGTTGATTGGAATATCACAGTTTCTTTGTAAGCTTTTCATGTTTTGTTTTTCGGCTAACTAATCTGAAAGTTTTTTTAAAGTACAAAAAAGTCATAATCATTCGCGAAAGGAGACGGAATCGATTGATGCAACATAACCTCTTGAACATTCAAATACCCACATAATTGTCATCGAAACGCACCATTTTTAGGAAAGTCCAGTTCCGTTTGAGCATTCAGCCTTTATATCTACACACGCTGACAATATTTACAATTAAGGACATCACTGTCTACCTGACACCTAACACTTTGATCAACATTTAGGGCAAATTGTTTTTCATAGACAAATGATTGGGATTCAAGAGCAATTTATTGCTACTATGACCAAGAAACAGAGGAGTCGGGAACTTTTGATTTCAACCTGTTTGTCTGAGAAGTGTAAGGTGCACTATGTAGCAACTAAAAGACTTTATAGAAAGTCTTTGTATAAATTATAGGCTCATAACAAGAGAATGAATATTGTGCTTTGAATAAAGCTCAAATCACGTCAAGACCAACAATAAGAGCCTCGACGGCTACATCAAGAATTAGGAGCATGGCCATATTGCAGTGGCAGTCTTAGATTAGTGCTCAGGAGCAGGGAGGGGGGGGGGGGGAGAGAATATTTTTTTGAAAATGCGTGTCGTTAACCACGCACTCCAATTTTTTTTGAATGCTTCCCCAATTTTCTGCGCGCCTGTGACTTCATTGGCGGCAGGCACGCCCCCGAAAAAATCTCGCAAGGTTAGTTTGAATTAAAATTTTTTTTTCAATTTTTCTACAGATATAAACAAGTCACTTGCACATTTTTATAACTCACTAGCTGGCAAATCCGACTCGTCCGGCCTCGTCAATAAAAAGGGTCCTAAAAGTAGGTACACACTTTTCAATCGCTAATAACTCTCTTCCCACAAGGTCTCTTGCTTCGCTTCACGCACCATTCAGTGGAGCAAGCTTCAACATAGATCCAAAGTATAGACTGATTCACTCAACTCTCTTCACTACTGTAGGATTACAGTAGGAACTTTGAAGAGGTTTTTGAGCCATTTAAAGAGCTTAAAACTCTAACATGAGGCTAAACTGAGTCGCTGACTATGAATATGAAATTTGCACTTACCGTAAAACTTTTTCATAAGTTATCCCAGGTAAACCGCAGTAATGTTTTTCCAGTGTTTTTCAAAAATGTGATAAAGCCATAAAAAACGCTTAAAAACTTGTAAAAAGTAGTTCAATGAAATCAGCACGTCTTAAATGCCTCGGCACCGTTTTCAGGATTTTTTTGAAACTTTTTATAGAAACGGCCTATTTTTGATGGCGCTGTATGCTGAGAATTCTTACTGTGACTTACTGTGATCATACAGTAATGAAGAGCAATGAGTGATTCGGTCCATACGGCAAATCTAAGCTGAAGCCTATACCGAATGCTTAAAGCTAAGCAAAAGATTTGGTGAGAAGAGAGTTATTAACGATCATGAAGTATGTACTTACTTTTGGGACACCCTGTATATTCGTGATGCTCACTTTTACCCTGTGTCAACTCTTAGCCCCGTAGCTCAACTTTGCAAAAATGGTAAAATAGGTATCGATTGATAACGACTAGGCTGCAAAACTCTCGAGTTATTTTGCTGTTCTAGGCATTCCATAGTTATAATAAAGAAATATACCGAACTAGTCAGAAATATATTAAAACGCTGAGGTCATCGCAATGATTTGTTAGACTTCGATAATTTTTTTAACGCAAATACTCATAAGAATTACCGTGTAACATTCAATGGCCCAACATGCCGGCAGTAGCAGTGACAGAAATAATATTAACTGAGCGTGCATCTGAAAGAAGAATACATGGCACTGATGTCGGCACACTCATTCTGATTCTGTGTCAACTGTAATGAGAAGTAATGGCATTCGATGACGCCAGCAATCATTGACAGAAACGCAAAAGCAAAACGACGTCGTCGACGTTGATCGATGTCGGTTGTTGTAAGAACAGTGCGAGTGGTCGCAAATGTGTCGTACCGGCGCCGAGGTTCGAAATGTTCCTGATTTTGCTTCGAAAGCCGAAGGACGGTGGTTTGGTTTACAAAAACGCGAAGAGCGGGCCACATGTGTTGACTCTGTCGTATAAACTTTTTCCCCCAATGGTGTCACTGACTCGAGGTACAAACAGAGGGAAAACAGACACAGAACAATAAACGATCGTAATGGGAATTGTTTTACGAGTTTGTAGACCATTTTTGGAAGAGTATATTACTTTTAACTTTGATAAACGCATTAATTTTGCTGGTAAATGAAAAAAAATGTTTATTTCTAAGGCAGCTTGGAAACTTCTTGCGAAGAACAGATTACAAAAAAGGCACAGAAGAGACACCTATGGGTCTGTCTGGAGTTTTCCTTCCTGAGTGAATTTGTTATCACAGGAGGCTACTGAACGTTTTCAAATTTAATACAAGAAGTAAGATAAAAGATAGATAAAGGTTTGCAAGATAAAACCAAGAGTGAACTGATCATAGGGGAAATTTCCGAGAATAATCCTTCAATTCTCACATTTGTTAGACAAGATTTTGCGACAGATTTTCAGACTTCAAGAGAAATCTAAACTTCTACGGACGTTTTCAAGCAGTAATTGTCAAAGAATGAGCTTCATGAGGATTTCGGACAACGTCACTCAGTCACCTGCTTTTAAGAATAAAAAATCTAATCTTTGAACAACGTTCTCTGAAATTTTCACACAGGGATCATGCTTAGGAGATTCTCAAAAATAAATTTGATTGGGTTGATCACGCTTAGGATTTCCTAAGTATGAATTCGGTCTAGGCAGACAGTATCAGGGCAAAGAAGTGCATGTGAATGAATTGCAAATCATTTATGACCATTTATGGGAACCTCGAAGTTATTCCCAGATCGATTTTGTAATTATTCAATAACCCTGGGAAAATAAGCACAAATTGAGGATTTCCTGATACAAAAAGACTTTGAGAATTGGATAACAGTATGTACCATTACTTTATTTGTAAATGGAGTTCATATCCTATTAAAATATGTTCAGAAACACTGGATACTTTCAAAAATAACATTGTCTTACATGTATAGAAGTGAAACAACTTCCAAGGTGCACCAGTTATGGACTGAAAATGAACTTGATGGTTGTTCCTTCAACGACATTATAGTAACATCGATCCGACCCATCTACTTTTTCGAAACTACGTTTCGGAAGTTCAAGAACACTTGCGCAAACTTGATAGCAAAAGAACGATAAGTTTTTCTTTTATTTATGCCTGTGAAACAGCACTAGCAATAACAAGAATTCTACGCGAAAATAACTAGCAATTTTCTCAGATAGAAAGGGAAAAGAAAATCTCGTAGTTATTAGCCAGTTTCGTAAGTTCACTATCCGCTAATCTTCGTTTCTTCTCTTTTATATTTTGGCATTTGCATATTTTTCCTTACCGCATTTTCAAAACTTTTATTTTGTTTATGATTTTCCTAGATTTTCTACGTTTTAGTTTGATAGTAGTTTGAATTTATTCCACTCTATCGAATATTTGAGGTTCTTACATTAATGAAACCATTCAGAAGTGTTGAACAGATGTTGAAAATGCACGAAGTCACAAGCTTTCAATAAATTTTTTATACTACCAATTTTTGGTTGTGTTCTTTTTCTTGTTTTTCATTGTTCCGATCACTTTTCTTGAAACTCTCCTTTTTCGAGATTGACTCCTTCTTATCCTTGTGTTTGTTGTTATTTTTTCATTTCTAATCTTCAGATTTTTCATTATTATAGGCTTTTTACAATTCTGCAGTATTTTATCACTCCTTTTCTCATATTTGAGGTGACCTCGGATCAATTAGTGCTGAGATATAATGCCTTTGTCACATTTCGCACATCAAATACGGGGTTGTTGACCTAGTGTTAGAGCATGATTAGCCAAAAGTCATTTCAGAACGATCTTATGACCAGTCCATCCTCCAAGTTTTGCATCATTGCTGGCACTGACCCGGATCGTCTCGGCAAAAACATGGCTAGACATTCCAGTTCAGGCGCCGTTACGTCGTTTTATCCCGTTGTTTCACTTTTTCTTGCAGTTTGGTTGTTGGAACAGCCCAATATCTTGTTTGGTCATCGTCAGTGTCCCTATGGCCTTGTTCCGTCCTTGTTTGTTCTAAGATTTGTTTCTAATACGAATCTGAGCTGGGATTGGATAGATCCGTTGAAACTGCTTACTGGAACTTGGAACTAGGTATAGATAATGATGCATTTGGGCATTTTTAGTTTAGAAATCTTCTCTCATCTTTTAAACTAGTTTTAAATAGTTCAAATTTCAATAGCTATAGTCAAATTTTGCTATTTTCCCTTTTATGATTCGAATAAGTTTTCTCATGTTCCTTCAAGCTTGATCATTCTTTGTTCTTGACCAATGGCTAGATTTCTTATCACAAACGCTAGTCGTGCAAATTATTTGAACCCTTATCTCAGTCGCTTGCATAACCAGAACAAAGGGCTTCCACTCGTTTTTGTTTGATTTTTGATTATACAGATGACCAGTATGCTTTTCACTTTTGTAATTTTTTGAATCATTCATACTCGAAATTTAGCGAAAAAGTTGCGAAGTACTGCGCTATCCATATTCAAGTTTCTATTGATTTCTTTTGATCTATTTTGAGACATAAGCAAATGCTTTATTCTTCAGATTGGATAGAGGATATCCTTGCAATTTGAAAAGGGACCTGACCAAAAACCAATTAAAATTTTTTATCATTCTTAGCTTTCCGTCGCAGCCCAAATCTTGTCCACCTGTTCCCTTCGATTCAATTTTAACTTTTATACCCTTCTTGTAATTAAAATTGGGTTGCTTTTGATTCTTTTTTTGCGAAAGTGTAGATGTTCATTTGCGAGATTAGCAAATTCGCATCTCAAATGATAGAATATTGCCATAGTCTTTATGAAACCCAGCTTTTGCAGACATGGACAACTCGCCAAGAAAGATCAATTTTGGAGCTGGACCCGCTAAATTGCCAGAAGAGGTTACTATAGTATATTGTCTGTGTACTCTATGCTGTTAACGGGCTAATAATTTTCCAGGTTCTGGTCAAAGCACGTGATGAACTACTGAACTTTAACAGTACAGGCATCAGCATTTTGGAAATGTCGCATCGCTCGAAAGACTTTGCCGAAGTGTTGGAAGAAACAAAGTCACTGCTTAGGGAACTCATGTTAGTAGATAGAATGGCATTTTTCGACTTCAATTAATTACCATAAGCTACCTTTTACACTTGATGTTCCTAGAGTTCAAAAAAAAACCGTACTTTTCCTGTAACACGGCCTTATTTCAGGAAAGTCCCAGACAACTTCGAGATTCTATTCATGCAAGGAGGAGGCACTGGCCAATTTGCTGCTATACCCCTGAATCTCAAGGTATGGTTTAACTTCCCTGGGAGGAAGAATTGAGTTCAAGCTGACCTGCTTTTTAGGGAGATAAGGAATTCGCTGATTACATTGTGACCGGTGCCTGGTCGAACAAGGCGGCTGCTGAGGCTAGCAAATTTATCAGAGTAAAGAAGGTAAGTTTTGCGAAGAAAGTTTGCAGAATTAGAAGACCTGGCTGTCGTTGAACTTCTCTAACATAAATTCCAAATAAATCTATTAGCTAAATGTAAAAAATCAACTAGCTTAATGAAATTGAAAATTATAGAAATTTCAAGATTACTCCAGTTTAAAAACATTAGCCATTCACCGTAAGAGGATCTAGGTTAGGGGTCAATAACACAAGGGTTTCACAAAATAAAATTTATTTATTTAATGCGTTTTTAATGAGCCTTTGTTTCATAATTTCGTAATAGTACGGTTACTTTTTTGATCTTTAATTAGCATCATATACAAAATATTTTTAGGTATTCAATCCTACCAAACCCTTCGTCACCATCCCTGATCAGAGCAAGTGGGATCACGACAAGGTGAAATAACTGCAATTTTGATATTTTTTTCTGAACCCCACGATCAAATTTGTCTTTTCAGGAAGCCGCTTATCTCTACTACTGTGCTAATGAAACCGTACATGGAATCGAATTCCATACTCCTCCATTTTCGGTACATGGAGTTCCTCTAGTAGCTGACATCTCATCGAACTTCCTCTCAAGACCATTTGACTTCGCTCACGTATGCATCTAGTTTGAAGTTATAAATCTGCATCTAATGAAAGACTTGTTTCAGCATGGATTGGTGTTTGGTGGCACACAAAAGAACCTTGGTGCAGCTGGTTTGACCGTTGTAATGGTTAGAAAGGATTTGATTGGAAAAGTAGGGGCTTTTAGTCATAAGGGATTCGAAGGAGTGGATTAAGGGGGAGATTTTAGGCTCAACCAACGACTCCAGCAATACTCAGTTATCAGGATATGGTAGAACATAACAGTCTTTATAATACCCCAGCCGTCTATGGGTAAGAACACTTTACCCAAGACTTCTTTTTGAAAATCTCTTGTTTAGAATCTATTTGACCAACTTGGTCCTGAAATGGATCCGTGACCAAGGAGGTGTGGATGCTATCTACGCTATCAACAAGGTAAGTATATGCGAGTCATCGCACGCAGAGACTGGACGCTGTTGCGTTCGAGGAAGAGAGTACGCGCTTGGAAGAGGCAGCAGACGGTAAGAGAAATGAGAGTGCACTTGGACAGAGAGACGCAGCGGCGCCCGCAATGGCGCCCTTTCTCTGCGTGCGATAATTTGCCTATGATAGAATTAGTCGTTTGAGAAAAAATCGAGAAAAATGGCCTAATTATTTTAGAAAAAGGCCGAAACCATCTATAACCTGATCGATAACTCGAATGGATTCTACACTTGCGCTGTGGACAAGCAATGCCGAAGCTATATGAATGTTTGTTACCGAATCAAAGGAGGTGACGAAACACTCGAAGCCGAATTTTTGAAAGGCGCCCAGGCCAGAGGAATGATTTCTCTGAAAGGACATAGGTGAGGGGATATTCCATGTAAGTAGGCAGAAATTTTTGATTCACATTTTTTGCAGATCCGTTGGAGGCATTAGAGCATCTCTTTACAATGCCGTAACCCTGCAAGAAACGGAACAACTTGCCAATTGGATGCGCGAATTTATGAAGAACCAGGCTGCTTAAATCATCGGCTGTCTGATTCGCCTCATTTATATTTATTTGTGTATTTGAAAGAGTAGCTATGTTTTTTTGTCGTTTACGTGAGTATGCGCATTGTGTAATTTTGCACAATAAATATTTCTCAGTATTTGTGTGTGGAAATTGGATGAAAGTGAAGAAGTTAAGACGTAGATCCTGTTTTGGCAGGAACTGAGTCATCGAAACCACTTGTAAAAGTCGGAGACATTAAGAGACTATAATAGTGAGAGACTCCAAGTCTATACCGGGCACTAACTCGAAAACTAAAAGAGAAAAGAAACAGGCTTCACGATCCTCACTCTATTTTGAGCGGTGCCATCATTGCTTCTTCCCTAAAAAGTCAAATTTATCGCAAAATGCGAAATCGGATGCAATATTCATCATTTGGACCGTTTTCGAACAAAATGTCTTCTTTTTTTCAAAAACTGTGGATACAATTCTGCAAACAACACAAAAAATAAAACATAAAAAAATGTAACAAGAAATGTTTTGAAGTGTTTTAAATATAATAAACATAAAAATTGCTCTAAAATTACCTTAAAAAAAGTAACATAATTTCTTCATAGTTGGTCGGAAGCAATCAAAAAAAAAAACAAAAGCGAATCTGTTTCTAGAAGATGAAATAATGCTAAAATTATAAGAAGATTCTTATGACTATGTAAATAAATGAGATAATTCAAAATTGTGTCGACGTGAGTAATGAAAGAAAATTGTCCAAAAAATTTAGAAAATCCTCACTAAAAACTTCCACTTTTTTCAATATCATGTTCTTCGTATTTCAACATATATTGCCTACATGTTTGTTCAAAACTTAACACTTTTTTACTTTTTTTTCTATTTCTGAGATAAGCTCGCCACGGAAAAAGGGAACTAAGCAAGGGATCTAATTGTAAGCATCGTTCGCGAAATCGCAACTAAAAACCAAATCTACACTACCACGTCAGATTTTCATTTGAGATATATAATACTCATAAAGCGTGAAATAGGTTTGCGGTTTTTTACTCGGATCAGACTTACACTCGGGGGGGGGGGGGAGGGGGGAAGGGCTTTCGAAATAACACAGTTGTCAAGCGGAAAGTGGAGTTTCTCGTTGTTCGCTTCAATGACCGGAAGGCGTGGGGCGTGGTGAGCTCGGCTCTCGGCCTCACCTGGGGCCCCGACGACTATAGCCAATCTCGAGCCGGCAGCTCCAGCACACCTTGCCGAAAGCAGCCAACATACTGCCACCTGTGTCATATAAATCACTTCTCATAGTTATAGTGTAGGTGTTTTCGTTGTTTTTCTTAGAGGGTCTGGGGTAAGGAAGGGGATTATTCTTTAAGCGCTCAGCACTCATGTATAGTCAGCCTTTGTTTCTAGATTTTCCTGTTTTTTAAAGGATGCGGCCAAGAAGTGGGGATGAAGGGGGGTAGGGGGATGAGGAGGAAAAGGAATACAAGTTTTTAGCGTTTGGTTCCTATGTGTAAATTTGACGTTTTGTCCTGTTAAAGAATTTTCGCTCTCAAATTTCCTCCAACCTCTGTAATTGGTAGCAGGAAGCAGGAGGGGGGGGGGCTCGGCATAGGTAGTCTGTAAAGTAAGCTGGATATCGTTTTCAGGACAAAAAGCAAAGAGGGTTTCGCTTTTGTGCCGAAAGGACATGAAATCTGCGATGTTTTTTGATCGACATTTCGTTTTTTGGAATTTTTTTAGGATTTTGGTTTCGGGACAAAGGAGACTTCGTAAAATCTAGAGAAAGTCAAGGTGATCTCATTTTTTGCATTTTTCAGCCATTGGAGGGGGGGGGGGGAGAAAAGAACGAGGATTGCAGCTTTTAGCTTTCGGCAATTATATCGTCGAGTCATTTGCAACTTAATATGCATGCTTCACACCATGCGCACTACTTGACGACTTGGAAGAATAGAACCTGCTCATTTCCAGTAATTTCTCCTTGTTTTCTTGTCTCCTCTAATTTGACTGTATATGTATTAGTCAGTAGTACACATTTTTACAGTTTGTTACTCTAGGAAAAGTTTTAATGAGGGATACTAGTATAAACGTGCCGTCGGGTGCCGCGCACAAGGTGCAGGCTCACATATTTAGTTACAAATGACCAGGACAAGTAAATATATCCCTTTATCCTGTAAAATGAGTTTTCTAGGTTTTTCGTTTTTCTTCATTGGTGTAGATAAGAAAGGAGGATGAAACTAAGTTTTTAGTTTTGCAGTTTTGGATAATTTTACTTCACTTTCTGTGAAAAAAGGCTTGTTTAGACATCAATGTATTGACTCTGTAACATGGCAAAGCGGATAGAAGTAAGAGAGGACGGAGGGAGGGGGGGGGGGAGGGAGGGGAAGGGGAGGGAATTGCTTGGCACCCCTGCCGGTATAGCTTTTCAACTTATAAAGCACGATTTTATTTCTATCTCAATCAATTTCCCGTGGTTGAAGAGGGGGGGGGGGAGAGAAATCAAGCATGCAGTGTTGCCTTTTTGAAAGTTGAAATCAATATTATTTTTTTGAAAGCTGAAATCAATATTATTCAGCGCTTAGCGCTTACCCCTTAAGATACTATTTTTGTTTTCAGATTTCAGCTAACGATGACTGAAGTTGACAGACCGCCAGGAATTCTTGCCAGTGCTCTTTGGGACCTCCAAAAAGATGCTAAAGTAAGCTGGTTATGTAAAAATACGTAACAATATTAAAATTTATTTTTCTACGGCAACTGCTTGGGCAGAACCTTGTTTTATTTTTAACATCATGGACCTGTACTACCTAGGTTTTTATTGTTGCGTTCTAAATTCTGTCTCTGTTTTTGTACAAAATGGGCTTTTCCCTCAGATTAATGTCTTATTTTATTTTTTGACACTTCCACAAGCGTTTAAAGAAATAATTAGACAACTGAATAAATTAATGATCGTACTGTACAATATCCTCCGAGTTTTTTCTATTTTAGGCACAAATTCCCATTATGCGAAAAAGAGCACATTCTCTAAATGGGCGAAAAGGAATATTGGCCTCTGGCCTTAAAGAATTGCGAGAAACTCTAGCACAATTAGAACAAGACAGGTAAAGATCATCGTTTTTTGGAAGAATAAATTCTTTGCTAGTAAAATAATTCCAGAGCAGAAGAAAGTACCCGAATTGGTATTTTGGGCACAGCACTTGAGGAGTTGAAAGGTGTTCCATATAAAAGCCCTGTGGGTTATTATCGATTGATTTTTTGAATATCAAATCAACTTATAGAGTATTTTAGGTAGTTGATGCAATCATACGACCAAAATCAGCAAGTGATATGGGTTATAAAGGAATGCTGGAGCGGCTTTTAGAAACAAAAGATGAAGTAGAATATGAAAGTCTTGGCTTGCGGGTAAGTGTTATAGTTCTGAGCTTTTTCCGTGAAAAAATTATTTTTCTAAGGATCTAATCGATGGCGACAAAAGGAAAGGGTCCTTCGGCGAGGATGACAGCAAAAGGCCCAGAATAGCTTTTGTACCGAAGCGAAAATCGAGGGACTCGACAAGCAGTGGAGAAGGAAAGGAGAAGCCTTTGGAGGGCTCAGCAACCCCAGAAAAATCCTCATCCTCATCGGATACAAAGGTTGGGGGCGAATCCGGTAGTAAGTTTTTTTTTTGAATTTGGAGCAATTCAGACCACGGCTAAAGAATCCAAAGAGGATGATCAGAAAGGGAAAGTGGAGAAGGAGAAAGATAAGGAGAAGGAGAAAGATAAAGAGAAGGAGAAAGATAAGGAGAAGGAGAAAGACAAGGTCAAGGATAAAGATAAGGATAAGGAAAAAGATAAAGATAAAGACAAGAAAGGACTCAAAAGCAAACTTCCTCATAAAGAACGCAAAAAAGAGAAGAAAGAAGAAGATGACGGGATACATGTGCTGGATATGAAGAAAGCGCAAGTCGATTTAACACTGGCCGATACGCAAACAAGGGTGAGTAGAAAAGCCTTTATGTAAAAAGTGAATTTAAGCTGTAATTTTTAGGTGCTTTACTTGGCAAAGAAGGACCAATGGGATTTGGTTGAAAAAGAGCTTGACATAGTTCCGAACAAAACCGAGTTGTCACTATGCGACAAGGTGAGCACAACCATTTTTTTTCATATTTTCACATATTCATGAATTACCTAATTTAGCAATTTTGTAAAATCAGTCTTTCCTAAATTTTATCCAAATGCTAGTCCCAGACGAAGGCGGTTGTCCATGAAGCGAAGCGTACGCAGCGTTGAAGGCTGTGATCGCTGACCGCTGCGCGCACGCGCTTCGAGCAATTCGCCTTCGCCCGGAATTAGACTTTAGACTTTGACAATCATAAGTGGGAACATTTCTTAATGAACCTGAGTTTTGTTAACTTTACTTAAATATATTCCAAGCAGCAGAGTTTTGCAGTTATTTCCTTTATCTATTCTGGAAAATTAAATTGAGTTTGATAATTTTTTAATGAATTATTCCCCATTTATTTCTCCTTGTGATAGCCACGCTTGTTAGGTGCGTTACATTTGATATACAACTAGCTGGCAAACCCGGCTCCGCCCGGCCATGTCATTATTATATTCGTAATCAGCATGCTCGATTACCCCCCTGTGCCAGCTCCCAGCCCCGTAGCTCAAATTTTGCAAAAAATCGATAAAATCGATATCGATCGATATCGAAAAGTAGCCTATGACACGCTCCCTGCCCCGAAGTATATGTGTGCCAAGTTTGGTCCAAATCGGTTCAGAAACAAAAATTTCTATTCCGCACATACGTACAGACAGACAGACATTCAGCTTTATATATAAGATAATCAACAACCAACTGATATATTCGGGAATTTTTTGAATTTTTTTTTTGATATCTCAATTCAGTTCCACTGTGAAAAAATTGCGGAAATATTCTCAAAATTGATCAACATTGTTCTGGGTCCTCGTTTTTTGACGCTTACTAGTTCACCCCGGTGTTATTACCTTCCATAGATGTTTATCGCCTGAACAAAATAGGGCATGACGTAGTACTTCCCAGACTCATGCATCGAAATTGGGGCGCAGAAGAAAATGCGCGCCCCATGGCCATTTTTCCGCGCGAAAGCGTTGGCGTCCTCATATAGACGCTATTCAAGCTTCAAATCAAGTTTCTGTTTGAAAATTGCTTTCAAAAGTAGACAAATGGCAATTCTTTATGGGCGACGCATGTTAGGCAATTTGCTTTGATAAATTATACCTTATTGGCGAAAAATAGATTAAAAACGCAACGGGAAATTTTATGTATTCAAATTCAATAGACAAGCTAGTTAATGGAGCTAAGGTTCCTGAACTCTACTTATATTAAGAGAGGCACTATAAAGCCTAAAAAATATTTGTTTTCTGAAGAATATCAGAAGGCAAGTTTCTACGTATCTATTTAGTCCATTACAAATTTGTGAAATAAAAGTAGTTTTCAATTCTACATAATTTGACCTAAAATATGGCCCACAAGTTTACTGTTCCTGTTTTGTGTTTTGTCACTCATGTTTTGAGTGTCATGGATAAATGAGGAGTTCCTTTTCCTAAAATCGGCTTTTAGCATTTTTCTGTCATTTTTGAGGTTTTGCAACTTTTCTACCTAGAACGTTTCTTCGGACAAGGCTAAGCGTATCTATTGGATTGTAACATATGTTTGACACCTTTTTCATTTTCCTCTAGAAAACTCTAGAAACTTTAGCAAAGTCTAATATTTGGCATATATGAGCAATGGACAAGGACTATCTGTTGGTGTCAATGTCAATTTTACACAGATGGACTACATTAAAAAAGGCAGCTTGTGACAACAATTGAATCTTCATTTTTTTCTTAAAAGTTTTATCATTCTTATTTCTCAAGGTCTCGGATTTTTATGGATTTTTGGGAACATTAGTAACTAATATGAAGGCAGTTTGGAAGTCTGGGCCTGTCGATAACGCAATTTGGAGATTTGCAAAAATTCAGAAAAATTTCAAAAATTCAAAAATTTTAATTTTCACATGTAACATGTGTGTAGTGAAAGATTACCACTGAGTTTGAAGTTGAGAAAAATTTTCTCGAGAAGGTTATGAGCTTTGAGTGTAACAAAACTTATGTTACGACCTAATACTATCCTGCAGTTCATTTTCTTCCAGAAACTTTTCTTTTCTTACAGCACCATGCCGTTGCCTGGTTTCCTGCATTTGCATCTATAAAGAGAAACTTTCTACCAAAATTTGGTGCGAGCATTTTATTGAAGTAACAAAACCTTAGCGAAAAGTCCAGAAACCGATAGCATGACAGCCTCAGCCGCCGTGAGCGGAAGTGAGGTGCATGCGCTTTTGACGAACGTCGAGTGAGCGAGAGTTTGGGACATTCGATTGCAACCTAGTGGGGAGGGGTGGGGGGGGGGGGTCTACAGAATTATACAATTAAGCGTTCATTATAGTTGGAACCGAATATTCGAGTGGTCAAATAAGTGAAAAAACCTTCATTTGAATACAATACCGCTCGTACTTTGTAAAAAGTCACCGCACTCCGCCGGAGTTCGCCGAACTTCGCGTTCCATTTGGAAATTTTTCAAAAATCAGATATTCGATGTTCATTCGATGATAATTTCCGTTCGTTACAACAGTCGTGTTCATTCCTTTGTTTTGGAAACCGTTGTTCTTCAATATTTTCTGCTGGAATTTTCATCGGAAATTGCTCAAAGGTGTTTACACCGTGGGCCAAGAATTATTGCAATTTTTAGTGTTGCTTACATTCTACGTCATAATTGCTTGACGAAAATTCCTGAGTTCTTCAGCTGAGGTGCTCACAATTTCTTTAGATTAAAAGTTTTCTCGTCAGTTCTGCACGCGAATAAAGTCATGCGAATAAAGTCATTTCTTGCATTCAACATGAATATTTGAGAATAGAAAGCATATATTAGGTCGTACCGAAAGTTCTTGCGCACGATTTTTAAAAATTCATAACTTCTGATTTTTCCAACCGATTTGACTGCATTTATGTTTGTATGAAAGAGTAAGTCATGCTCTTTATAAAGACATCTTAGCTGCTTACCAATGATCATCTGTTGCATAGAAAGGAGCAATAGAAGAAAATTGGTCAAAATTTGAATTTTCTGTGTAGGGTCATAAAAAATCGTAAATATGCAACAAAAATTGGAGCATTCGGTATTGTGGGTTATTTCACCAGCTCTTTCTAACAGTGCAAAGTTTGCGCCGATTGAGCGTCTCTATGAAAAGTTACGATTTTCGAGCAAGCAATACAAAAGGGCGAATTTGGTTTATTTTGGCATTTTTCAGGGAAATCATAACTTTTCATAGAGACGCTAAATCAGCGCAAACTTTGCACTGTTAGAAAGAGCTGTTGAAAGAACCTACGATACCGATTGCTCCGATTTTTCTTGAAAGTTTCCGATTTTTTATGACCTTACACGAAAAAATCAAATTTTGAGTGATTTTGGTTTTGAGCTTCTATCTCCTTTGTTTATACATATTAACGAACATTTCAAGCACATTTGCAAACAGTATGGGTTCCTCTCTTATACAAAATTTAGTTCTTGTAAATTCGTTGAGAATTTAACAAGTTATGAATTTTTGAAAATCGTGCGCAAGAATTTCCGGTACGACCTAATAATTCATTCGCATGTTTTTCGTAAGATGAATTCCTCTCATCAAAAGCTCCGTTTGCCCATTATGAACGAAATAGGTTACATCTAGAGGAGAATCTTATTTTCTGATCACTTTGTCTGCCAATACTATGTCATTCGATTATTTTTATGCTAATCCACAAAAACTTCGGAACGATTTCGTGGATACTTGTGTTTACCCGCCTATAATTGGTTTTCTAGAAAATGAAAAAAAATTTCTTCGACCAGCAACGGCAAATTCCATATAACTGCTTTGAAATTTTGCATTTTTGCTTTCCGCCTTTCTGCTACGTTTCATGTAAGAATGCAATACATTCCCAGCATATGCATTATGCTTTTGGCTCAAAGCCTATACAAGCACATTGATCATAACTGTTCTCGAAACTTTTTCAGAAAGGGTACACGGCTCTCTTGCTTGCGGTCAAAGATGGAAAACGAATGTTCTTTGATAAATTGCTACAAAAAGGAGCTGATATCAATGCGGTCACGAATGTGGGTTCATAAAAGGAAAATTTCTTTCGTTTATATTACCGTACTCATATTTGATTTTTCCAGGAAGGATATAATGCTGCACATGTCTGCGCCATGTATTCCGATGAAAGAATGTTGAATGCGATCATCGCTAAAAGCAGCGATTTATTACGAAAGCCAGGAGGGGTATGTTTGAGGCAAAGAACAGCTATTATACTGGCGACAATCGAAGAGCCTGCGTTTACAATGCCCTAAGTGGCCCCATGCATTTCTATGCAATTTTGAGCAAAACAACTTTTTTCCAGAAATCTGACGTAAAGCAGCTAGAGAAAGAAGTGGGAATGAAATTGGCAAAATTTAAAGGGGCTTTGAATTGGGGCAAAATGAATAATTAGCCTTAATATAGACACGTACTCAATTCTAGAATCAGAATTCGAAAATGCGATAAATTCTTGATTGCAAAACTCAAGCACCTAACATGCATTTTTTAAATCCGTAATAGTGAACCAATAAAGGTGCTAGATTTGCAGGCGCGTTCGCTGCGGGAGCCGCGCGGTTTTCCGCGATTTCATCTTTTTTGAATAGGCACGACGATTTTCTATACACAAATACGAAAGTGAATTTTATTTCAGGGCAAATTTCTGGAAATCTCTGTACATTTGTAAGAGATGTTATAAATATTGATATTTTTGCATATATTGGGTAAAAATTCTTGCGCAGTTCCAACAAAAGAGAAACTATAAGAAAGAATACACTCAGAAATTTTGCAATATATCAAAAAACAAGAACCATTCTGTAGTACAAAAAATATTGATTGATTTTGATATCTTCAGCTTCGTGGAGAATATTTTTAAGCAATTTTAAGTGTCGAGGGATATCCTTAGCGATCGATATGAACGTTCTAATTTGTAATGATTTTCTTTGAGCTTTCAATCTTTTGCTGAATGCGTTTCGCATGTTGATTAGACCCAATCTCTTTCCATCAGAAGCATCTTTTTCTTCTTTTTTCAGAATTTGTCGAGGATAATGTGAGAGTTTTTTATATAATGATTCTTGTATTGATTTATTGACTTATGATTTCAAGCCTTCTTCCAATATTAGTCAACGCCCTCGTATTTGCTGATTTTTTTAAACAAATTTTGTCAACCAATGGTAAACTTGTGAAAAGCCATAGACCAAAAAGGTTTCGTCCTCGCCCCTAGAACAACTTCCGCACGAGTTTTCCACTCAATTATGTTCAGAACTCTATTTGTTTGGCAATTCGAAACCTATATGGTGCTGTTAATTTCTAGAAAGACTATTTGAGTGAAAGTTCCGAAATTCTACTTTTTTTTCTAGCGGAAACCGCAAAAACTTTCGCAATAAGGATGGAGAGGGTGGCGAAAGGGGGGGGGGGGGGCGGAATAATCGCTTCTGTTGACATATTATGTTTTGACAACCATAGAAGCGCAATTTATCGAGTGCAAGTCTGAAAGCCTGAATAATTTTGTTTTCCAGCCTCATGAACAACTTCCGATACACTTGGCCTGTCTACGAACTGGTTCGGAGGGTTCTGCTATTGTGAAACGGATTTTGGAAGTTTTCGGCAAACAACGACTCGCTCGTGATGGTAATGACGCAATGCCGGTACATCTCGCCATGAAGGTGAATTCAAAGTTCAAAACCTTTTTTTCTCAAAAATAGAATTTTCTTCCACTATCAAAGCTTGAGAGCTAAATTCTGCGAAGATGTAAACCCCAATTTTTCATTGTAATTCGCATCGTTCTTCTATTTTCAAACCAAAGTAATTTAAACAAATTATTCGAATTTTTTGATGAGATACGGTAGGTATACGGACGCTGGAAGTTGTTCGATCGTTTGAAAGTCTGCAAGAGTTACCTAAAAATTAGTTAAAATTGAAAGTTGGCTCCCATTTGACTACCGTATCCAATGAGGCTAGTCACTTTCTTATTACCTCTTCGGCATACGGCATACTTGATCCACTTGATCCGCTTGATCCAATTCATCCACGTCTCCATCGGTCAGCCTAGTTTGACCAATAGCAAGTGGATATAGTGGATAAAGTACAGTCGAGCAGATTTTTCGCAATATAGTGTGCTTGCACTGCAGGTAAATGCCGCAAAATTTGCGCGTGAACAAGCAGCCACGCCAGTAATGCCAGTCTTTTGCGCGCGCAATTAGCCAGCGTCACGGGCGCAGCTATTTGTTCACGCGCAAATTTCACCGCATTTCACCTTCAGCGCAAGCACACTATATTAACACATTCACAACAGGGCCGATTTTTCGATGACTGCCATTTCGAACTAGAGCATATTCCGCAAAATTGAGTTTGCGTGATATTTTCAGGTCACTGATGGGTCCTGTGGTCTGAAGTGTTGATCTTTTGGGAAGTACTCCAAGAGATGTACACAGAAGTTTACCTGGTTTGCGTAAAAAATTCACCTTGAACTAGCAAAATCAAAAACCCCAGAAAGCATACGACCCACCGGTGGGTCGTATTGTCCGGAATGGCAGTACATGTACGACCCACCGGTGGGTCGTATTGTCGTGAATGCGTTAAGCGGAAAATCTACTCGACTGTAACTGTATCACTTTCTAGTTTGACTCACTGATTTCACTGACAGAAGATCAGATTTGTCCTTGTTTTTCCATAAAATTGTGACAGCTCTGCCGCATTCTAAAAATTCGGAGTTCTTGGTAATTATCTTCTTATAGAATTCCTAGCTTGAAGAACCCGAACTTCACGAAAAGGGCCATATATTTTAGACGGGAAACGTCTCACTCGTTGAATTTCTCTTATCCACCTCCACACATGAACAAGCCACTGCGATAGATAGAGCCGGAGATTCGTTGCTTCATCTTGCTTGTCGTAGTGGCAACATGGGTGAGTTATAAGCTGGCAGATCTGACACTGAGTATAGTGCCCCTAAGGTGCCGACATTCGCGGACAGCATTTGCGCGTGAAAAAGTTGCCATTTGCACTCTACAGCCATTTTGCGCGCAAATCGTCGGCAATACGGGCGTCACACTTGCTCACGCGCAAATAGATATGTCGGCACATGTCGCCCTGCAGCGACACTATATTTACCCCCGATTCAATGGCCTACACCTTCATCATTTATCTTGCAAACGAAACAAGTGGGCCTTTAGCTGCTGTACAAACGGCGATCGCAGCTGGATGCAATGATCCGAATATGCAGAATGCGATTGGACGAACAGCTTTGCACGAAGTCGCATACTTAGGCGATCAACATCTCATGAAGATCATGTTCAAACTACATGCTAATGCCAATATTCATGACAAGGTAATCAGTTTCTAGTCAACATTGTCTTTGAAAAGCGCTGAACAGTATCGTTCATATCGCAGCAGTCTTTGTGTAATTACACCATTTTGAAATCTGCAGTGTAGTTGGCCAATGGCTATAAAACTGCTCAAGCTTGATCCATAGGAATTTTCGGCGCTATTCGGCTATCCGGGCCCCAAAAAATTTTTTATCATGGATTTCGCTCAAACTTGGCCCAGAGGGGTTATCTGACATGCTGATCACGAATATCACCTTTTCTCCGCAGGAAATTGCCTCCCTGCGGGGTTACAGTAGGATTACGGTAGAGGGTCAAAATCACGGACTTGCCCGAGACTTGGCCTAGAGGAGTTATTCGGCCTGCTGATGCCAAATATCACATCTGTTTTGAACCATAGCGTCATTTTCTCGGGTTACGGTAGCTACATGGTAACGTAAAGCATAGTTCTGCCTGAAACGGGTGTACGACGATTTGGACGATTGTGAAGCTTTGTACACACGACCACCGCCGCGCGCTACACATCCTGCTGCGGCTTTTGCCTAAGCAAAGCACAGGAGATACACTTGCCGATTTGTGATTTTGACCCCTACTGTAAACCTACGTAACCGTGCAGGGAGGCATTTTCGTGCGGAAGAAGTGTGTGACATTCGTGATCAGCATGTCAGATAACCCCACATTTGCCGATTTGTGATTTTGACTCCTACTGTAAACCTACGTAACCGTGCAGGGAGGCATTTTCGTGCGGAAGAAGTGTGTGACATTCGTGATCAGCATGTCAGATAACCCCACATTTGCCGATTTGTGATTTTGACTCCTACTGTAAACCTACGTAACCATGCAGGGAGGCGTGTGCGGAAGAAGTGTGTGACATTCGTGATCAGCATGTCAGACCCCACATTTGCCGATTTGTGATTTTGACCCCTACTGTAAACCTACGAACCATGCAGGGAGGCGTTTTCGTGCGGAAGAAGTGTGTGACATTCGTGATCAGCATGTCAGATAACCCCTCTGTGCGAAGTTATAGCGGATTTTGAGATTTTGACCCCCTACCGTGTACCCACCGTAACCCGAGAAAATGACGCTACGCTACAAAACTGATGTGATATTGGCGTCATCGGGCCGAATAACCCCCTGGGCTAAGTTTCAGCTGAATCTACGATTTTGATCCCCTACCGTTTACCTACCGTAACTTCACCGGATGGCACTGTCACACGAAATAAACATCATATTCGTGTTCAGCATGCCAAATAACCCCTCTAGACGAAGTTTCAGGCATATCCGTGATTTTGACCCCCTACCGTGCACCCACCGTAATCCTGCAGGGAGGCGTTTTCCTGCGGAGAAAATGTGATATTCGTGATCAGCATGTCAGATAACCCCCCTGGACCAAGTTTGAGCGAAATCCATGACCAAAAAATTTTGGGGCCCGGATAGCCGAATAGCGCCGAATTTTCGACATGCTAATCACATCTGTGATTTAGACTCATTAGTACACTTACCGAACTCCAAGAAAAACGCAATACGATTTTCGTAATTAGTGTGTGGGGTAAAGCTTTTAGACCAAGTTTGGGAAGAATAGCGCTCAAAACATAAAAAGACGAAAAAGTAACTCTGAAATAATTGCATGAAGTACGAGAAAGGCACTGCACTCTATAGATTCATTTATCCGCTGCAAATCCGTGAAGTAGTGCAGTTACACAAAGAAACTGCTGTGCGACTACTGTATATATTCTACCGCCCCCTCATTTTTCCGTCATATCGAACTGCTTTGCAGGATGATAAAACCCCACTCCATGTGGCTACAGAACGCGGATTTACGGACGTCGTCGAGCAGTTGATAGACAAATTTAATGCTTCGATCGCTGCGCGAACCCGAGATGGATCAACACTTCTACATCTAGCAGCCACTACTGGACATACGGGCACGGCGCTAGCATTTCTGAAAAGAGGTAAGGTAAAGGTAAGATTTCCCTTCCAGCACACTTCTACTGACAAATTTCAGGTGTTCCTCTTTACATGCCAAACAAAAAAGGCGCCTTGGGACTGCACTCAGCTGCAGCAGCTGGCTACAACGACGTTGTGAAGATGCTTATTGCACGTGGAACAAACGTCGATATACGGACAAAAGTATTCCTAATAGTCGTTGTTGTCCGGACAAAAGCGGAATAAGCATAGTTTTTAGGACAATTACACAGCACTCCATGTAGCAGTGCAGTCAGGGAAAGCCTCTGTGGTGGAAACATTGTTGGGTGCTGGAGCCGATATACATGTGAAAGGAGGAGAACTCGGGCAGACTGCGCTACATATAGGTAAGGCAAATATGGGTGGAGGACATTAGGTCGCCGAAAAAGGGCGGTCCCCGCGGTCATTTGCGACAAGTACGCACCCTTGTGCATGCGCGGACATGCGTTCCTGCAGGGAATCCGCGCGGGACTCTTCCAAATTCGGCGACCTAATGTCCTCCACCCGGCAAATATATCGCATGATCTGCGCAGGACCCACTTCACCTGGAAGCTGTGATCCCGCCCATGACCACGCCCTGGTTTGGACAATGCGCAATTCTTTCCAAGATGAATTTTGCCAAGCGACGTAAAACACACAATTCACAATTCATTTGATCTGTGCTCGCATTATGTCACCCAGATTGCAAACTGGAGCGAAGCGTGGCTAGTGGAGGGGCCAAAATTGGAGTTTGAAAGAAGTCATTCCAGAAGGGCTGCTTCCAGAGTTGGCTGTGCCTGCGTCGTGCCAACGCCCACACGCCCCCGCATTGAACGATGCGGCTCTGGAACCGCGCTAGCACGGCGCTGGCACGCAGGCAACTGTGGAGTGTCAAGGGAGTCCGTCAACAAGGACTTGAATCACTAATTAGATAAGCCCTTTAACCTTGATGATGCTTTAGCGGCTTCATTAGATGGGCCAGAATCTCGTGAATGTGCCATGATGTTGCTGAAATCTGGAGGTCAACCGGATGTTGCACAAGAAGATGGAGAGACTTGCCTTCACATTGCTGCCCGAAATGGCAACAAGGACATTATCAAGTTCCGCAGTTTTGGATCACAAGTCCATTTATAGTTTTCAAAGCAGTTACTTGCAGATTGCTTCTGAATGATGACGCCAATTTGAAACTGGTTTCGAAAGCTGGTGAGACTCCGCTGCACGTGGCTGCCAAGTCCTGTAATTACGAAGCTGCACAGTTGATTATCTCCCATATGGCACAAAGCTGTTCACCAGACGAGATTCGAGAATATGTGAACCAAAGAACGAATGTAAGCAGCATCACCCAACAATTTTGATAGAATTATGATAGCAAACTAACAGAGGAAAGGATTCACTCTCGTCAACCTGTCGCACAACTCTCGTATACCTAGGTTTAGCAGAATCCAAGACGTCGAAAACATTCTTTTTGCCTCAAGTGATCAAATGACTACAAATTGGAACGCTTTTTTTTAATTCAGAAAATGTTTACGTTATTCCTTTAGGATGGTTTTACGGCTGTTCACTATGCTGCTCAGATAACCTCGGATAAAGTCCATTACCCTGGAGAAGATGCAAAACTCATGAATCTGCTTGTCGACTCTGGAGGACAAGTGCGTCGTGAACCTTGAATCTAGCTATCTATCTTGTCGGGTATCTATTCACGAAATGTTTAGGTGGATTTGCAATCCATTACTACCGATGAAACAGCAATGCATATGGCAGCACGATCTGGTAATCAAGCTGTCCTACTAGCCATGGTAAACAAGATTGGAGCTGGAACGGTGCAGATTGTGCAGAATCGGCAGAGCAAGGTAAGCAGTTGTTAAAGGCAGCGTCCAGACAGATCTGGACCTATGGGGCTTTTACGTGAAAAGTACTTTTGGGGCCCTAACTAAGGCACTGCCCAAGCGGCAGCTCAGGAAGTGCTGTGATGGCTGAGATATTCCCCTCGAAGCTGGACCCCGCGACCGTGTTTCCCTTGCATTCATGGCGCAAAGCGTGGATCCTGGCGCGAAACTGCCATGAATCCATGCGAATACGTTCGCGGGGGCCAGTTTCGAGGGGAATATCTCAGCCATTAGAGCACTTCCTGAGCTGCTGCTTGGGCAGTGCCTTGATTAGGGCTCCAAAAGTACTTTCCACGTAAAAGCCCCATAGGTCCAGATCTGCCTGGACGCTGCCTTTAAGGATATGAACGGGTCGACGCACGCGGAGACTGGTTGCACTTGCGTCTGCTTGAAGCAGTGCGCTTTCAGAAGAGGCACCAGACGGTAAGAGAGGTAAGGTTCGACTGACTCAGAGACGCGAAAGCGTCCGCACTGGCGTCCCATTTCTGCGTGCGATGACTCACCTGCAACATTCGATTGGTTTTTTCTGTCCGAATTACTGCAAATTTTAGAATGGGTGGTCACCATTACTGGAAGCATGTGCACGAGGACACACCAGTATTGCGCAAACCCTTTTGCAACATCATGCACGAATCGACGTTTTCGACGATCAGGGTCGGACAGCTCTCCATCTAGCTGCGATGAATGGTCATCTAGGTCTAGTGCATCTACTTCTGCAGCATAAGGCGTTCGTGAACAGGTATGGTGAACATAAACAAACGCGTCGTTGGGACGAGGTGTAGGCTTTTTTGAACCTTCCGCTCTCTCGGACCCTTTTGACATGACTTTTTGGTAACTTCTCATGTAATTTGTTCATTCTGTTGGCGTCGCTAAAAAGCAGATCGAGTCAAAAAGCCAGCAGAAAGCAACATGGTTCAAAGCGTTGTTTCCGGCCAACGCTATCCTGTTGAACAAGATAGATGTACAGATGAAAGAACATGCTTGCGCGTACAGTCGAGTAGGTTTAGCGGTAAATATAGTGTGCTTGCACAGAAGGTGAAATGCGGTGAAATTTGCGCGTGAAAAAGTAGCCACGCCAGTACTGCGGGCATCGTGCGCGCGCAATTGGCCGGCGTCACAGTCGAAGCTATTTCTTCACGCGCGAATTTTACCGCATTTCACCTTCTGTGCAAGCACACTATATTTACCGCTAAATCTACTCGACTGTACAACTCATTCCTTCCACTCTGCTCGATTTTGGCCAATCGCATCCGTACTCTGACCAATCAAAAGTGCGCAGCCATGGCGAACAGTTCAAAAGGGGTTCTGCCGTGGCCATCTCTCTGATAAACGTTATATCATCCTTCTTACGGTCTGCTGCCTCTCATTCCTGGGTTTGGGCGCAACGGCGTTATCTCTGCGTGCTGTAACTGGGCCATAACAACTCGTTTTACTCCTGTTCATTGAATTACCACTAGCTTTTGGAAAATTGGCAATACAGGAACGCCATGTACCAAATATCCTAGAAATTATACAAAAGGGACCTTTTCATTAACAATGGCCATCTTTAGCAAATCCAAAACTGGTGAGGCTCCACTTCATCTCGCTGCTCAAAATGGCCATAACAGAGTTGTGACTGTGTTGGTGCAGGATCACGGAGCTGCCTTGGAAGCAATCACCTTGGAAAATCAGGTGGCGCTCATTTCTTCCTACGTGGACATGGCTTCTTCTGATTGATGGTGCCCAACAATATCTTACAGACAGCTTTGCACTTTGCTGCCAGAAACGGGCAGTTGCTTGTTAGTCAAACACTTCTTGCCCTTGGTGCCAACCCTAATGCTCGAGATGACAAAGGTCAAACACCTTTACATCTCGCTGCTGAGGTAAGTGGACTATTTGAGTAGGTTTCATTTGCTAATGAGCTTTTATCACAGGTAGTCTCCCTGATGATCTATAGATTTTTTGCATGGTCTTGTTAGAAAAGAAATATTCATCATTTGATTTGCAACTTTCAGAATGATTACCCAGACGTCGTGAAGTTATTCTTGAAAATGAAACAGAACAATCGTGCTGTGTTAACCGCCATCGACCACAATGGTTTCACTTGTGCACATATTGCTGCAATGAAGGTATGGTTCGAATGACGCAGACAAAGCACATGCTACGTCAGATGCGGCATTGCGTTTCGGTGCACTTCAGTTGCGTAGCAGAAGTCTGGATTGCCGTAGCTGGATTGATCCGCTGCAAGTTGAAGTGTCTGCGTCAGTGCAAAGATTTCATATGCGCAATCTTCTTCTTCTTATCTTATATATAAAGCTGAATGTCTGTTTGTCTGTCTGTCTGTCTGTCTGTCTGTATGTCTGTCTGTATGTGTGTACGTATGTTCCGAATAGAAAATTCCATTTCTGAACCGATCGGGACCAAACTTGGCACACATACACTTCGGGCCCCGGCGGGTGTCATAGGCTACTTTTCGTATCGATCGATATCGATTTTATCGATTTTTTGCAAAATTTGAGCTACGGGGCTGGGAGTTGGCACAGGGGGGTAAGTGAGCATGGGGATTCCGAATACAATATTAGTTTTCAAAATCGTGCATTACTTTTATCGATTTTATCGATTTTTTTGCAAAGTTTGAGCTACGGGGCTGGGATTTGGCACAGGGGGTAATCGAGCATGCTGATCATTCCCACGGGGGTGATCAGCATGCTCGATTACCCCCCCCCCCTGTGCCAACTCCCAGCCCCGTAGCTCAAATTTTGCAAAAAATCGATAAAATCGATAAAAGTAATGCACGGTTTCGAAAACTAATATTGTATTCGTAATCAGCATGCTCGATTACACCCCTCTGCCAACGCCCCATAGCTCAAATTTTGCAAAAAATCGATAAAATCGACATCGATCGATAACGAAAAGTGGACTGTGACACCCGCCGGGGCCCGAAGGGTATGTGTGCCAAGTTTGGCCCGGATCGGTTAAGAAATGGAATTTTCTATTCGGAACATACGGCGGAGCCGGGTAAGCCAGCTAGTAAACTATGTTTTGAGGGTTCGCTCGCTGTAGTGAAGGAACTAATGATGATCGATAAGGCTATGGTCATTCAAGCCAAGACAAAAACAATGGAGGTATGTATTCTATCTCTGAAGTATAACATGTTTACAATCGATGTTCTTCTCGGCGTTCTTCTTTTCGTCCATTTCATCTATCAAGTTATTTCTAGGCAACCACGCTGCATATGGCTGCAGCTGGGGGGCATGCAAATATCGTACAAATTCTTCTTGAAAATGGAGCAAGTGCGGAGGATGAGAATGCTGTATGTCCTTTTTCTCAAGTTGAAAGTGAGTGTGTCAAGATCAAATCTATTTCAGCATGGTATGACAGCCCTTCATTTGGGTGCAAAGAATGGATTCGTTCCGATTTTACAAGCTTTCGACAAATCGCTGTGGAAAAAATGTTCGAAGAAGGCATGAAATAATAAGGGTTTGTATTAACTCTCCTAATAATGGAGTTGCAGACTGGTCTAAATGCAATGCATATCGCTGCATACTATGGCAATACGGACTTTGTTATGGAGATGTTGAAAAGCGTGCCCGCAACAGTCCGCTCCGAACCTCCAATTTACAATCACCACGTTGTTAAAGAATTTGCCACCGAGGTTAGTGCTTTTCTGTCCAAAGAAAATGTGGGTGGTAAAATTTTTAGTATGGTTTTACGCCATTGCATCTTGCTGCGCAATCCGGCCACGATGGACTTGTGCGAATGTTGCTCAACCAGGGAGTGCAAGTAGATGCTACGAGCACTACAATGGTAAATTGTTAAGCGGACCTTGTCTCTTTCTGTTTTTGATTATCTCAGTTTTCAGGGTGTGATTCCTTTACATCTAGCTGCGCAGCAAGGTCATATCGCTGTTGTCGGAATGCTGCTTTCTCGTTCAACACAGCAACAGCATGCTAAAGTATGTACAGAGGATATGGCATAAATACGCCCACAAATTTTGGTTTTAGGATTGGCGCGGCCGAACACCGCTCCACTTGGCTGCTGTGAATGGGCACTACGAAATGGTTTCATTACTAATTGCTCAAGGATCTAACATCAACGTAATGGATCAGGTAGGCAGCTTTTCTTTTTCGTTCTTTCTTCATCCTTTTTCTTTCTTTTACTTCGCATTTTCTTGATAACTCATGTGTAGATCACTTTCTGTCAAAATTTTTGTAGTTTTTTGCGTAATTTTTTGTATCGTCGATTCGTTGACCACACGGACTGGACATCACTGCGGGGCACGCACCGCGAGGTGAAATGCTTGCCCCACTACGAATTCGCCATTGTACAAGCCATGCTCTCGCAACAATTCAGCCGCCCGCGCGTGGTTCGCAACGTTTGTTGAGCAGTCTGTGCGGTCAACGAATCGACGATAAAAAAATTCAAAATACATGGCAAGTTCCGTCGCCTGACAATCTGATCATACGCATAGATATAAAGTTATCTGGTAATTTAAGAATGGTTGGACTGGATTGCATTACGCTACTAAGGCAGGTCACCTGAACGTGGTCAAATTGTTTGTGAAAAGCTCAGCAGATGAGTTGGCGGAAACAAAAGAGGGGAAAGTACGCAAGTCATGCAGATTTTTTACCCATCCTTTTTCCTTGTGTAACCCCAGTAAACCTTCCCTAGGTGCCGCTATGTTTTGCTGCTTCTCACAATCATATCGAATGTTTACGATTTCTTCTGAAGCAAAAGCACGATACACATCAGTTAATGGAGGATCGCCGATTTGTATTTGATCTGATGGTTTGTCGCATGTCAAAAAAGCATCTTCTACATACTTTCAACCTTTATTTCAGGTATGCGGTAAAGGTACTGACAACGAGCCATTGCAAGAATTTATCCTACAAAGTCCCGCGCCCATTGATACGGCTGTCAAGCTGTCATCACTCTATCGGTAAGTGAAAGAATTTTTTGTAGCTTCTACAAAGTTGTTGATTTAAGAGACATGTCGGAAAAAGAAAAAGAAAGAGCCAAAGATCTGCTTAATGTAGCTGTCTTTTCCGAGAATATGGCTGTAGAGTTATTGGGTATCTCCGCTAGCGAGTACAATGCCGCAATCCTTCTTAAAGCCAGGGACACTCGTGGACGTCCACTCCTGGATGTGTTGATAGAAAATGAACAGGTCCAGTTTTAATTCGTATCTTTTTTTTTGTTCACTGGTTTTCTCTAGAACAAGGTAACTTTCCAAAAAAGAGAGTTATTTCATATCCCGCTCGAAGGTCATTGTCATATTAGGTTGTGCAATAAGTCGTTCGCATTTTTTGTTTCAATTTTTTCTCGGTATTTCACATAGCTTCTGGCATAGTGTTTGTATGCGTTCGAAAGTTCTAGGTCTGTTCTACCAAGCTGCTGTCATCATATTTCCAGTTTCCAAAATATTAAATAAAAAATCGGACTACGAACCGAAAAACCTGAAAGAGCTAAAATTCCATTTTCGACAGTTATGTTACGCTGTGTCTTGAATGGGTTTGAACGCTTGAGAAACGGCTCGAAAATTTTACTAAGATATAGATAGAATACTGTAGCTCCCGCAGATTACTCACAAGTGCTAAAATTTTTCAAAAATTCATATTGTAAACTCAAAAATAGGTATGTTTTTAATGTCTTTTCGGCGTCAGCGTTAAGCATCTGTAAACACCTTCGAGGAAGGGTGGTAGAACAACGATCCAGGAATTGGCAGACGATATGGTCTTGATCGCTCAAGCATTCAATAATTGGGCTTTGCAGTCAAAACTCAAAATTTGGGGGACACAGAACCCAAGTACGCGAGACAACGAACGCCGCTGGGCAGGACCTTGCTACGCCGACTTTTGCAAAAATGGCATTAAACGGTCGGCGAAAGGAAGTGGGCAAACGTAAACAGTTTCAGGAAGTGCATAAATAATCAAGTAGTTGTTTTTCTTGTTGTCAGGCTTTTTGAGTAAATTTTGACAATGAATAACGGGAAAACTAAGAAAGAAAAATATGTTGAAAACAAAATTTTCGTCTTCTTGGATTTTCCGATGTGTGGTCATATTTTTTGTTCAGGTTTTCAAGAATCGAAAATATACTAACAGAAGTTTGGTAGAGCAGACTTAGAGCTTCCGAATGCATAGTAGCGTTTTGCTAAATGTTTGCAAAATGTTGATAACAAATTAAACCAAAAATGCGAACGAACTTATTACACAACCTAATAGATTGTAATTTCGCCTTTCTAGAAAGAAGTAGTTTCATACGCTTCGGTGCAACGATATCTAACGGAAATCTGGACAGCGAGTATCGACTGGTCTTTCGGTGCGTTCCTACCTTCCTCCGTCCTTTTTATTTTCTATTTAAACCATCATCATTTTTGATGTCCTTCTTTCGAACTTGGCAGCGAAAATTGTGTCAATAAATGCACGAAACTGTTCGTAATCTTGTCCCATTCCCTTTCTGATCACTTTTTACGAAGTGCTTCTATATTACAGGAAAGACTGTAGCTTTCACATTATTCGTGCTTTTATGTCCTCCAGCATGGTTCTACTTTTCACTTCCTCTTGACAGTCGCATGGGTGGGCATTTATTTGACGTCAGCAAGTTCTCCTTCTATGTGCCTGGCTGAGCTAACTTATGGTTTAGGTCGAGCTCCTATTATCAAATTTGTTTGCCATATCGTCTCACACGTGTATTTTACCATCCTCCTCACTATTGTAGTGCTCAATATCACACATAAAATGTAAGTTTATGATTGCCGTTCGAAGTGATACATTCTTTATCGTAGGTATGAGACAACATCTGTCATACCTAATCCAGTTGAATGGCTTCTACTTCTGTGGTTGAGCGGTAACTTAGTGTCTGAGCTGTCCAGTGTAGGAGGTGGCTCTGGTTTAGGTATAGTCAAGGTAAGTCAGTTACTGGACAGTGTTGGCGCTCACTCTCCATCCCATTAGGTGCTGATCTTGGTCCTAGCCGCTGCTGCCATAGCAGTTCATGTACTTGCCTTTCTTTTACCTGCGGTTGTTATGACTCATCTAGACAACGACGAGAAACTGCATTTTGCTAGAACCATGCTATATCTAAAGGTAATGTTTGTAATATCTTGCCTTTTCCATCGTTTTGTTTATTCAAAGGTAAATTTTGTAATGTCTTGAATTTTACATCACTTTAGTCAATCAGCGAAAAGATTCCGTCTCTTGTAGTAAGTTTGAGAACTATATGCAGCACTCTTACAAGCGGTTTACGAATTTTGTCTACCTTGCATAAGGACAATCATATTAACCTAAACGTGCACCCATCTTTAACATTCAACGCGACAGCTATACGCAACAATCTCAGTATGTCTTACCTTCATCCGAATATTTTAGAATCAGCTGTTTGCATTTGCTTTACTTTTTGCTTTCGTCGAGTTCCTCGATTTTCTCACAGTGCATCATTTGTTTGGACCATGGGCTATCATCATCAGGTACCTGGGATTTCTCATCGCATGGTCATGTAGATGAATTTGTTTTAGGGATCTCATGTATGACTTAGCTCGCTTTCTAGTTATCTTGTTGTTATTCGTTGCGGGATTTACATTACATGTAACGTCTATCTTTCAGGTGGGTAAAAGCGTCAATTTCTTAAACATTAATGCATCGTTTCTGCTTGCTAGCTCCAGCAGTCATAGATTATCAGGGCGACTGTTTGTACCAATGTCTTTTTTATGGATCAAGCAATTTTACACCTGATTTTATTTTACCTGATTAACTAATTTCCTTTACAGCCAGCCTATCAGCCAGTCGATGACGACAGCGCTGAATTGATGCGTCTGGCCTCTCCAGAACAAACTCTGGAAATGTTATTCTTTTCGTTGTTCGGGTGGGTTTGGCGATTACGATAAATTCACAGTCGGTAGTATTGGAGAACTTCCGCCACTTGCCGAGGTTTTGCCTATGGGATTCTGCTACTACTTGCTTACACTCCAGCACTAGCCCTGATGGATTTGCTAGCTTAAAATGTGCATTCTTATAGACTTGTCGAGCCGGACACTATGCCTCCACTTCATCTAGTGCCTGATTTTGCTAAAATTATTTTGAAGTTGTTATTTGGTATCTATATGATGGTTACACTCATAGTAAGCTTCATTGCTTTTCCTCACCTTCAAAAATCTTTTTTATGTTCATTTTAGGTACTTATAAACTTACTGATTGCTATGATGTCAGATACATATCAGAGAATTCAAGCTCAGTCGGATACGGTGAGACAGGAACGTTTTGCTGTGGTAACAGCTAAGATTATTTTTGAAGGAGTGGAAATTTGGTCGTGCTATTCTGATCCGACAAATGAATAAACGTAGCGCCACCCCATCTCCTATCAATATGCTCACCAAATTATTTGTTGTTTTGAAAGTTGCCTACCGGAATCGACGTGAGTTTAAATTGAATTTTCAACAGTTTAAACGTATCATGCATTGCAGTGCGAGTCTGCACTCAGAAAGCTCAACAAGACTTGCGATTCGAGGAAAATATTGATGCTTTTTCGATGGGTAATGGTCGTCAAGGGAGAGTTAGTCCAACTATGCGTGAAGACGAAGAAGGTGAGGATTGAAAAACTTACTCAACAGTTTGCTCTTTGATTGAAACATACATGATTACAGGTATGCGAGGTGATGGCGCAGAGTTGGGACAGATCACTGACTGGAATATCGAAAATGTAATAGACTGGAAGCGAATAGTCTCTATGTACTATCAAATGAACGGAAAGAAAGATGAACCTGACGAGAATGAACAATGATTGAGGTGTCTATGTTATTTGTACAAAAGAGTTCTATAAAGATACTAATATCCCAGAGTGCATTTGCAGTTTACTTGTTTTTGCAGTCCATCTTATATATAAAGCTGAATGTCTTTGTGTGTCTGTCTGTCTGTATGTATGTCTGTCTGTACGTATATTCCAATAGAAAGTTCCATTTGAACCGATCTAGACCAAACTTGGCACATATATGTACTTCGGCGCGGGGCGGGTGTCATAGGTGTGTTGCTTACGCGGCTCCGCTCGGCCCTGTCAAAACACTGTACTGAAGGTCCCATCCCTATTCCTGTACAGCCTTTCCCTGTGCCCACTTCTACACTTCTTTCCCGTTCCCTGTTGTTTTCGAAATCACCATGCCCACTTACCATCCTTTGCCATGCCCAGCCCTTCAGCTCAAATTTTGAAAAAATTGATAGAATAGGTAAAAGTAATAGGTGGTACCAAAAACTAATACTGTATTCGTAATCAGCATGCCCGCTGCCCCCCCCCCCCCTGTGCCAAGTCCCAGCCCTGTAGCTCAAACTTTGCAAAAAATCGATAAAGGTAGTCGATAATCCCAAAAACTAACATTCTATTCGGAATCGCCATGCTTACTTGCCCCCTGGCCAAGTCCCAGCCCTGTAGCTCAAACTATACAAAAAATCGATAAAAATCGATGTCGATCGATGACGAAAAGTAGCCCATGACACGCTCCCCGCCCCAGAAAAATTTCTATTCCGCACATACGTATATACAGACAGACATACAGACAGACACACATTCAACTTCATATATAAGATATATGTATATATATATCAGTGGCGTACCCAGGAATTCGGCTCGGGGGGGGGGGGGCGCGACAAAAATTTTTTTCTAAAGAAGGTGCGTGGCGTTAGCCACGCACTCCGAAATAATTTTGGGGGTGCTTCCCAAAATTTTTTCGGGTCCCAGACCCCTAAAATCTGGAAAAAGGGGGCGTGGCGCCAGCCACGCCCCCGAAAAATTTTTTTTTACAGGGCTAATTTGAATTTTTAAAAATTTTTAAAAATTATTTTAATTATTTACAAAAATAAACAAGTCACTTACACATTTTTATAACCCATATAAGTAACTTTCAAAAATTTCGCGACCCATTCTCGGGGGGGGGGGGGCGCGCCCCCCCCGCCCCCCCCCCTCGGTACGCCACTGATATATATATATATATATATCAGTGGCGTACCGAGGGGGGGGGGCGGGGGGGGGGGGGGCGCGCGCCCCCCCCGAGAATGGGTCGCGAAATTTTTGAAAGTTACTTATATGGGTTATAAAAATGTGTAAGTGACTTGTTTATTTTTGTAAATAATTAAAATAATTTTTGAAAATTTTTAAGAATTCAAATTAGCCTCGTAAAGAAAATTTTTTCGGGGGCGTGGCTGACGCCACGCCCCCTTTTTCTAGATTTCAGGGGTCGGGGACCCGAAAAAATTTTGGGAAGCACCCCCTAAATTTTTTCGGAGTGCGTGGCTAACGCCACGCACCTTCTTTAGAAAAAAATTTTTGTCGCGCCCCCCCCCCCCGAGCCGAAATCCTGGGTACGCCACTGATATATATATATATATACTAGCTGGCGTACCCGGCTTCGCACGGGGCCAAACTTTGCACACATAGACTTCGGGGCAGGGAGCGTGTCATACTCCACTTTTCGTTATCGATCGATGTCGATTTTACCGATTTTTATCGATTTTTTTGCAGAGTTCACCTACAGGGCTAGGAGTTGGCACAGGGGGGGGGGAAGTGAGCATGGGGATTCCGAATACAATATTAGTTTTCAGAATTATCGATTACTTTTATTGATTTTATCGATTTTTTGTAAATTTTGACATGCGAGGCTGGGATTTTGCACAGGGGGAATCGAGCATGCTGATTACGAACACAATATTAGTTTTCAGGATCGTCCATTACTTTTATCGATTTTATCGATTTTTTTTGTAAAGTTTGAACTGCGGGGCTGGGAGTTTGCACAGGGGGGTAATCGAGCATGCAGATGACGAATACAATATTAGTTTTCAGGATCGTCCATTACTTTTATCGATTTTATCGATTTTTTGAAAATTTGAGCTAGGGGGCTGGAATTTGGCACAGGGGTGTAATCGAGCATGCTGATCACCCCCCTTGGGGTGATCAGCATGCTCGATTACACCCCTGTGCCAAATTGTCGAAAAATCATGTCGAAAAATCGACCATTTTTTGCCCCCAAAAATGCACCATTTTTCGAGTAAGTTGCTTTGAAGTCTTCTCGTTCTGCACAGGGCTGACCAAATCTTTGATTACTGCGAATATTGTTGAGGCAATGCCTTACACTTCTTTTGGACCCATCACCCAGGCGTGGCGATCCCCGCAGAAGCGACGCCAGCTGCGAAAAGAAATGCAGTCAGTTGTAAGTTCGACGGCTTGTAACTTCGGAGCGCAGATCGCCAAACTCGAGTGCAGGTGCAGGTCAGTAGCCAGCAGACTTCTCAATCAGATCACCCATGATTGGGACAAAATTCTGTGAACTGCGCAAAAAAATGGCCGCAGGAAGAAAAATTGTGAAATTTTTATGGTCGGAAAGGTTTGCTTTTTTGATGTGCAGATCAGACACTTTTGGCATCGATAAAAATCGAAAGCGGTTTTGAAAAGTTTATGCTTCCCTCTACTGAACGGTATAAAAAACTAGTCGTTAAAGTCCGACCGAGCGCCGAAAAAATGCGTTTGAAAATGAAATTTCCAAAAGTGCCCGGGAACTTTCTTTACAACCTAATACCAGCGAGACCAGGTTACTCACGCACTCTCTTGTCTCTCTTGTCGTGGAAGTAAGACGATCCTAAAGTGACTGTTCTTAGTTAGAGCATTTTTACAAGAGTTGGGAACTTACAAGGGAAGGATGATCGGTCAAAGTGGCCATTTGGAATGAGCTGTAGATTAGGAAACCGTCCTCGGTAAGGCAAACTCAAAACTACTTTCGTTAGGTGCCGAGCGGTTTTGTGGGGGGGATACAAGTCCATTCTCCTCCGGCGCAGCCGGCGCACCCAGTGGTGAGCGAGGCGCTAGAAAACTCAGCGGTGTGGCAGTGGCGCAGTGGCAAGATACCGGACTACGAAGCAGATGGTGGAGGGTTCGAATCCTGTTACTGCTATTTTGTTTTGCAGTATTGTAAAAAGTCTATTGAGTGACAGTAAACGAAAAATACTCATTTCTAGGCAGTTGAATCTACAATAAGCTATAATCTTCTACAATATGTAAATCTGTGGAGGTTATGATGTCACAACAATGGATTCAAATGATAAATTAACATGTATGGAATACGACCACAAAATGCGCAAAGCAGAAGAGCTTCTCGCAGCGCGCACATCGGATAAAATATAAACGATGACAATCAGCAGTTTCACAATTGCCTATCAAAGTCGGTGAAAAACAGTACTGAATAGGATCGAATTCGCCGGGGTGGTTATCAATGTATCCGGCTGGCGAGAACATCGTAATGATTGGCAGCAGAGCTTTTTGCTATATGCGCATACTTGGCACTTGCCTTTACCTGCGTGGTCCTGCCTTGATAGGTAATGAAGCTGCTGATTGCAATCGATTGCAATTTTGCAAGTGCGCGCGCTGCGAGAAGTTCTTCTTCTTTGAGCATTTTGTGGTCGTATTCCATACATGTCAATATATCATTTGAATCCATTGTTGTGACATCTAACCTCCACAGAGTTACATATTGTAGAAGATTATAGCTTATTGTAGAAATAGTGACTTTTTTGCAGTAAATAGCTTGTTTCAACTGCCTAGAAATGAGTATTTTTCGTTTACTGTCACTCAATAGACTTTTTACAGTACTGCAAAACAAAATAGCAGCAACAGGATTCGAACTCTCACCATCTGCTTCGTAGTCCGGTGTCTTGCCACTGCGCCACTGCCACACTGCTGGGTTTTCTAGCGCCTCACTCACCACTGAGTGCGCCGGCTGCGCCGGAGGAGAATGGCCTTGTAACTCCCCCATAAAACCGCTCGGCACCTAAATGAATCGAAAGTAGTTTTGAGTTTACCTTAGCGAGGACGGTTTCCTAATATACAGCTCATTCCAAATGGCCACTTTGACCGATCATCCTTCCCTTGTTAGATGAATTTAGCTCAAATCAAGCTGTTACGCGATTTGGCACCATTTCAAAAGCAACTAATAGGAGTACAACATATTTGAAAGACACATTCTGGGATAACAAGCTCGGAAAAAAGCAGCTACAAATAACCAACCGGACACCCGGACACTGGCGACCCAGTCTCAAAATCATTGCGACCTCATGATTGCCTTTCGAAATACGTGTGACCCTTTTACGAAAATATGCTTGGTCACTCGCTTTGTAATTTGGCAGCGTTCCAAAACGCATGCCACTTGGCAGCAATCCAAAGACAAAGATCAGTGTATTTTATCATAATTTCTCTGTCTGCTGCCTCCTCGCTTGCCATGTTCCACGGACCAGGGGAATTAATGCGTAAACAACGATTCCAGATTATATCACGTAGTGATATAAAAGTATCCCATATGTCATACTTTTCGTCATCGATCGATATCGATTTTATCGATTTTTATCGAATTTTTGCAGAGTTCACCTACCGGGCTGGGAGTTGGCACAGGGGGGGGGGGGGTAATCGAGCATGCTGATTACGAATACAATATTAGTTTTTAGAATTATCCATTACTTTTATGGATTTTATCGATTTTTTGCAAAGTTTGAGCTACGGGGCTGGGAATTCACACAGGGATAAGTGAGCATGCTGATAACTAACACAGCGGGAATGGGGAGTTGGAGTTGGTGTAGAAGTGAGCAGAAGGTTGTACAGGGGATGGGAGCTTTATCATAGTATTTTGACGTGGGCGGCGGAGCCGGGTAAGCCAGCTAGTCTCATATACAGGGTGTCCGTAAAGTATGTATACACTTAATATCTTTCTTCCCAACAAGTCTTCTGCCTTGCTTTAGGCACCGTTTTGTAGA